TCTGAAACGGGAGTGCCTAGACTTGCCTGCCTGCGGCCCACGGCGTGGCTTCATCGACGGCCTGGTACGGCCCACCTTCGGCATTAACAACTCAAGACCCTTGCAACGGGCCAAGCCTCGCGAGACGGACGACACCAAGGGGAGCTCCTAGTTGGCGCTTCAGGCGCCAGCTAAGGGAGCTGGCGCTCACAGCCGCCGAATCGTAGGCCGGCCCATGTGGCGACCACGGCTAAACTCGCCTCGCCTGGTCGCTCGCTGGATCGAGAGCCTCGAGGGCTGTTCGTACGGTCGCGGTTGACCAGTTGACTGACTGGTCAACCATTGACTTTAGAAAAAAGATGAAAATGAAAAACGAAAAAAATCATAAAAAAAGAAAAAAAATCGAGATTTCAAAAAAGTTCACAGATTTGGAAACCTTCATTCATTTTTTCAGATCATCAAATTTGAAAAAAGTTCACAGAAATTGAAAAAAGTTCATCAAATTGGGAAAGAGTTCATCGATTTTGAAATAAGTTCACCGAATTTTAAAAAAGCTCATCCATTTTGAAAAAAGTTCATCGATTTTGAAAAACAGTTCATCAATTTTGAAAAAGAGTTCATCCATTTTGAAAAAAAGTTCACGGATTGTGAAAAGATTTCATCGGTTTTGAAAAAGAGTTCATCAATTTTGAAATAAGTTCATCGAATTTAAAAAAACGTTCATTGATTTTGAAAAACAGTTCGTCGATTTTGAAAAACAGTTCATCAATTTTGAAAAAAGAGTTCATTAATTTAGAAAAAAAGTTCATCAATTTAGAAAAAAAGTTCATCGATCTTGAAAAAGAGTTCATCGATTGTGAAAGAAAGTTCACCGATTTTTTAAAAAATAGTTCTTTCAAATTAGCAAAATAAATATGAAACCGTTCCAAAAAGAAGAAAAAAGAAAAAGAAAAAAAACATAAAAAAACCGTTTTGAATAAAAAGGAAAAAGAATAGGAAAAAGGAATCGTTGTAAGAAGAAAAGGTGAAGAAGCAGTAGTTTGGGCAACTAATACGAGTTAGTGCGGTGGTTAGCGCATGAGGCTAACGACCGTCAGGTCGCAGGATCGATTCCCATCCAAAGCGCGTGTTGGTTTGCGGAAACAGCTATAATCGGCGCCTGCAACGCTAAATAGGAAATGCCGACACCAAGACCTTCAGAAGGAGCAGCCTCCTCAGGCCGGCTCCTGAGGAGCGGAGAGTTCTATGCAAGCCTCACCTCGCGAGGATCGGATGGCGTGAGCCATGAGGACCAAGGCCAGTCGAGCGCCAGCGGGCGCAGTACAACAGTTTTCCCTGAGGAGCGGAGAGTTCTATGCAAGCCTCACCTCGCGAGGATCGGATGGCGTGAGCCATGAGGACCAAGGCCAGTCGAGCGCCAGCGGGCACAGTACAACAATTTTCTCTTTGGTGCTAAGGAGGAAAGCGCAGGCGCGGAGTCCCGAGGAATTAGCCAAAAGTTTCCATTCCCATGCAACAAGACAAAGACCGCCAGGACGGCAGGACGGAGGTCATCGCCGATCCGACCACGGCGTCACGACCAGAAGCTTTGCAGGCGAAGACTACTTTTGTCAGAATAAGATGTACTAGCTGTCCCCCTTCGAATTTGGCCTCCCTTCCCGCCTCCATTTTGGGGGAAGAGGACTAATGCCACTATAAATATGGCCTAGCCATCACCGTAGCAGGGGATCAGTCGATCGATCGATGGAGGGACCAACGGACGAATCATTCAGATCATCCTCTCCCCCACCAGCTCAAGAACACACCTCCAGAGGTTGTTCCTCCATTGTACTAGTTCATCCACAACCCACCTAGAGGCCAATCCACCAAAAAGCAGGAGTAGGGTTTTACATCGCAAGATGACCCGAACCTGGGTAAACTGCTGTATCCCATTTCCTTCCTGTACATCGAGCTAGGCCATGAAGTTGGCGAGTAGGCAGACTGGGGAGGTTGAGTTCTTCGCACGTACCCCAGAGTTCGAATCTATCAAGGGTCTGCGGAGCCCGAAATCCGACATTTGGCACCCCAGATAGGGGTGCGTCGGAGCCTCTCTTCCTCTAGTCGATTTGACGCCGTCTCGCCGTCCCCATGGCTGATGCTCACGGAGTTCGTGCTGAGCGCTGGACCGCCCTCGCCGCTCGCGTCGCCCAGACGGCGCCCGCGGGCAATGGTGCTCAGCGTCGTTCCCCGTCGCCCGCAGCCAACACTGCCATTGGCCCATGCGGCCCACGGGCAGCAGGCTTAGTCGATGCAGCCCTCTGTGCGGCATGATGGGTGCACCGCCACTCCATCGCTGACCCCGGTGGCCGCTTCATCGTCTCATGCTCGTCGCGGGCCGACGAACGCACAGGATGCGTTGCTCATGGAACGCTAGCTCCTGCTCTATCGCCCTATCGACGACCTCTATGAGGACTGGCTGGACCGCATCACCGAGGTCATCAGCGCCGCCGGAGAGACCCCTGCACCGTCCTGCTCACTGCCTCCACCGCCGCCTCTCGCGGGCGACGTGGCCCACAGTGCGCCTCCTCCACCTCCTAGGCAAGACGTCACCCTCGAGCCAAGGAGCGAGGCTCCACGTCGTGGCCCGCCGCACAGGGCGTCGACGCGTGACGAGGAAAGCTGCCAGGTGGTGCAGCGACCGCAAGGAGATGCGCGTTGAAAGTGCAATCATGCCCTTAATCTTATTTTGATGTTGATGACAACATGCATGTATGGGACTAATCATGTTTATCAAGTATATCTCAGGATTATGTCTCATAGGCCGTGTGTGGATCATGAATAAAGACAAATGCATGTAACTCAAGATTGGAGATACAAGACAATATCCTTGGCTTTGTTTACGGTTTGTTCTTGAGTATAGGGATCCCGCACTATTAAGAGGGGATCGATGGATCTAGTGAAAGATTTGCTCAAAACCCACAACTCCATTTTTCACCGGACGTCCGGTACGTCACGGACGTCCGATCCCTTTTAGCTGTCCGGTCGTCCGGCTCTCGTCGGTCGTCCGGAGGTTCTTCACAGGACAATATTCACGGATGTCGAAGCTTCTCCGGACGTCCGGTCCACGGACGTCTGTTATCCTCCGGACGTCCGACACTTACTCAATGGAACAGTTTTTATGGATATCTGGTCCTCTACGGATGTCCGGTCACCGGACGACCGAATCGGTCCGGATGTCCGTTAGCTGTATGCTGATTCGTGGCTTGTGATTCTCCAGCGACCGGACGTCCGACGCCTCCTGTGCACTTGTGTTGCTCAAACGGTTACTTCTCCACCTTCACTATATATAGCCT